GTGTGTGTGTGTGTGTGTGTGTGTGTGTGTGTGTGTGTGTGTGTGTGTGAGGGGGGCATTGTCAAACACAGTTTTAGACGGGAGTCAGCTTGGAGCCTTAGTGGAAGGAGGGGGAGGGCTCAGGGGCACATCTGATACAGTGCCAGCAAATGGTTGTGCTGAGGCTCCCTCCGCTCCAAGATTATGGATAGATGGATGGAAAGAAGGGGGGGACGGGGGGAAGGAAAGAAAAAAAAGGAGGGAGGGAGGGGAGCGAGGGAGAGAGCGAGAGAGAGAAAGGTTTCTAGCAGATTATCGTTTTTTAAAAAAAAAAACTCAGCCGACTGTAGTCAGGTCTGGCAAGCTAACTTTTTTTTGACATCTTCCGCTTTGCGTGGAACACCACTTCGCTCACTGGGAAGAGGCTCTGGTGACTACCTAAAGCTTCAGACGTGACTAGCACAGTGGGAACACCGCACGGTGGCCTTTAAGGAGGTAGCTCTGGCCCCCAACCACTTGTGGAGCGGCCAGGAGACCCTTCCCGACTCGCGCGGCTGAGCAGGCTAGGGGTCCAGGGCGGTCCGGCCTGCGTGCCCGCCAGTGGCTCCGGGCGGGCCGGGCGGACGCCCGCCCCGTGGGACTTGCCGGCGGGAGGGCGGACTGGCGGGGTGCTGGGTGTGCGCTGGGCAGCGGCCACCGAAGGAGGAGTCGGCGAGGTGGCGCGGGGCGCGCTCTTTTAACCGGCGGACAGCAACGACCCGAGCGGCAGGCATGGCAGAGGAGCGGCTGGGGCTCGCGGCCGGCCAGCGGCTTAACGCGCTGCCCGACCACTCGCCGCTGCTGCAGCCGGGCGTGGCGGAGCTGCGGCGCCGTGCTCAGGAGGCGGGCGTCCCGCTCGCGCCGCTCCCGCTCTCCGACTCCTTCCTGCTGCGGTTCCTGCGCGCCCGGGACTTCGACCTGGACCTGGCCTGGCGGGTAAGGGTGTCTGCCACTGCGGCGCCGTGCGCGTAGCTGCAGGCGTTCCCAGCCTTCCAAGCCGGTCTTTCCAGTTTCTCTGATCACGGGAACGGGAAACCTAGAAAGTGCTGGAGCCTTTGAGGGGATGGCCGGTTTGACCGTAAACGCGGGGGAATTCTCTGCCCGTCTAAAGTGCCCTAGATGAGTCTCTCTAGCCTATGAAGTTTGGAGGAAAAGCCTTTTCTCCCCTTGGAAGCAAGTCGGTCAAGTAAAACAAAGTTAACAGTTGAGTAGGAGGCTCACGCCTATCGCATCTTAGCAGATAACTCTAAGTGTGGAGGGTGAAATAAAATTGCTGGCAAAACTGGCGGTCGGAAGCCCTATTGCAGCAAAATAGTAATATTCATACTAATACTTAAGTGTGAAGACAGCAAAGCAGCCCAGTATGTTTTGAGTCTGGCAGGAGGAGTTTGGCACCGTTCGTTTGTGTTCGGCAGCATGTTACAGCTGCTTGAGAAAGAGGGTGGTGGAGAGACAGGAATGGGGAAGGGGGACTGGATCTTGACTTTTCCATTTCGTGGCTGGGTCCTTCTGAGCTCAGAGTCCTCATCTGTGGAATAATCGTTAAGAACACTGCTTCACTGACTGGTTTCGAGGATTGAACATTAACAAGTTTAAAGTTTATCTTACCGCCGAGAGCACCGAGGCCCTCCGGACTCAGTGGGTCTTTGTCTTTCTCTTGTAAGAATACACAGAAGAGACAGTTTTGAGTTCAGCTCTACCAGGTTTACTTTACTTTTACAAGTAAAAGGAGTCAGTGGGGGCTCATGCATCTCCAAAAGACTGACTCAAAGGAGGCAGCAAGGCTAGGGCTTATATGGGTTTGGTGGAGACAATAGAGCAGTGAATATTCAGTAGGTTTCTTTGAAGGTGCAGGTATTTCTCAGAATGGCGGTGCATACTAATTAGGTTGCTCGCACATCTGGAATCCAAGATGGAACCTGCTGATATTCAAGATGGAGTCCCTTAGGCAGCTCTTGGCATCACTTGTTATGGGATATGGCGCAGATGCACTGATCTTCCGTACTACTTTGCCCCCTTGGTGGGCCAAGGGAGATCAAACACTGGTCACACTTTGTTCTTTGCATGCGGAGCCTGTAAGAAGGGGAAGGGACTAGAAAAACACTAAGAAGGAAGTAGTAATTCACAGGTTCTTTTAACCTTATTTTATGTTGACAGGATGTGGTTCCTGTTTACCCAACTTTTAGGTGGTAATCTTTTAACAGCTCTTTTATTCCACCAACACAGTTAACCCTATCTGTCTCAGTTGAAACAAGATGTGCCTAACACAGTGTCTGGCACAGAATAAACTCAGCAATTGACCTGATCTAGCCCGTTCTTCAAGTAGCTTGCTCAAATTTCACGCAGCAAGTTCGGAGGCAGGGAAGGGATTATACTGCAGAGTTCCAAAGAGTCTTACTATGAGATTTTTGTTGTTGTTAACTCATTTTTAATTGAAAAAGTAATGAGTACAGGTGGTAAAAAATAACCTAGATAATGCAACATAGTAAAATGTGAAAAGTGAGTTTCTCTACCCCAAAGCCTCAGTTTGCCAGTTGTCTACCCAGAGGCAGACAGCTGGCTACCCTGGGCTACTGACATGGGTACCATGCAGGAAAGAATCACCAAGAAGGGATTTATCATCTTTGTACAGGCTAACTATGTGCCTTCTGATGACCTGACTGACCCTGCTCCTGCCACTACCTTTGCCCATTTAGATGCTGCCACTGTGCCGTCCCGTGCTATCGCTGAGCTGGGCATCTGTCCAGCTGTGGATCCTCTAGATTCCACCTGTTGCATTATGGTTCCCAACATTGTTGGCAACGAGCATTATGATGTTGCCCATTGGGTGCAAAAGATACTACAGGACATTTCTTTTTCAAGGTTTGCAGGTATTTTATTTACAAGTATACATTTAACACAATGAAATAAAACACTGATATATGAAGCTTAGTTTAAAATAATGTAACAAAGGATATTTTGATGATTGCATTATTTTAAACAACAAACTACACTGAAAAATTAATGCTGGTAAAATTCTTGGTCATAATATTATTAAGAAATATAATATGTAAATTGAAAATATGATTGCTTAAAATTTGAAAATGGAAATGAACTCATTTGGACAGTCAGAGTTTAACATAATCTGAAAGTGGCAGGGGCTGGGGAGGCTCTAACTCAAATGATATCTTTCAATTTAACAGAAGAAAAAAGAAGCATACTTATCAGTTTCTTGTTTATCTTTCTAGATATAGTCTACACTCACACAAGCATATGTATGTATTTTACACATTGCATTTCTTACCTGACTTATCACAGGGATCATCTAATGCCATCATATATGATAGTGTATGAAGAAAGCTTGATTAGTATCTCAGTTATATTTTTTCTGTGAGCTGTGTATTATTCTATTGTATGGCTATATTAATATTTATCTCACCAGCCCTAGACATGGGGGTTGTTACCAACTGTCTTAGTTATCTAGTGCTGCTAAAACAGAAATACCACAAGTGGATGACTTTACCAAACAGAAATTTATTCTCTCACAGTTTAGGAGGCTAGAAGCCCGAATTCAGGGTGCCAACTCCAGCGGAAGGCTTTCTCTCTGTCGGCTCTGGGGGAATGTCCTTGTCATCACTCTTCCCCTGGTCTAGTAGCTTCTCAGCACAGGGACCCCAGGTCCAAAGGATGCACTCTGCTTCTGGCACTTCTTGCTTGTTGGTAATGAAGTCTCTCTCCTCTCTGCTCCTTTCTCTCTTTTATATCTGAAAAGAGATTGACTCAAGATACAACCTAATCCTGTAGATTGTGTCCTGCCTCATTAATTTAACTGCCTCTAATCCTGCCTAATTAACATCATACAGGTTAGGATTTGCAACACATAGGATAATTATAAACAAAAACTCAACTCACTCAACTCAACTCTGTTCTGACTCATAGGGACCCTATAGGAAACAGTAGAACTGCCCCACAGGGTTTCCAAGGAGCAGCTGGTGGATTTGAACTGCTGACCTTTTGATTAGCAGCTGAACATTTAACCACTGCACCACCAGGGATCACAAAATGGAGGACAGCTACACAATACTGGGAATCATGGCCTACCCAAGTTGACACACATTTTGGGGGGCACACAATTCAATCCATAACACTAACCTATGGCAGTTCTGTCTTGAATGTTGTTCATTCCTTCATTCTGTGATTTTTTTTTAACTCCTACAACTCGCCTAGCAGTAGAGGAGATGAGATACAGTAAAAAGACTAACGTGGTTTCTATCATCACGAAATGGGCATTCTATTAGGGTAGTATGTCCTTGTACATTTGTTTTCCCATAAATAGGAATATATCCTCATCAAACAAGCTCAACCTGTGAAATCACTGGATGAAATGTGATGTGGATTTTTCAAAGTTGATGGATATACCAAACTGGCCTCCAAATATTTTGTACCAGTTTCACTTTGATATTACAAGATGGTGCCCATTTTTCCATATTGTCACCTAAATAGTATTTTTAAACATTATGATCTGTCAACCTGCTAGGTAAGAAATAGTTTCTCACTATTCTTATAATATACATTTATTTAGTTACCAGTGAGGATAATCATCTTTTATGCATTAAAAAAATTATTATTGTCTAGTTTAGTGTCTGTTTTTGCCATTTGTTCATTTTTATTTTGGGTTTTAGTCATCTCATTGATTCATAAAATATCTTTATGTATTAAAGAAAGCCCTTTGTCCTAATTTGTTGTTTGTCTTTTGATATTGTTTATACTGTTTTCTTTCTGTGCAGAGTTTAAAATTTTTCTGTAATTAAATGTAATTGATTTGATTGCTTCTGGGTTTTATAAGCTCTTCCCCGACCCAACATTTTTTAATGTGATTTATGGTTTCTTTTTTAAATGTTAGCCTCTTTGATCTACCTGGAATTATTCTGATGCAAGGAGAGAAATAGGATTTTTGTATTTTTGTTTTGTTAGATGGCTGCCCGGGTATACCAACATCATGAGCAGTAAACTAATATTTACTTTGCAGCTACTGAATTGCAGGCTGTCCAAAGTCCTATGAAGAGTACAGTTTAAGTGAGGCATTAAACATACATATTTGTAGAGATGACTAACAATTAAAAAATGCAGGAATTACTGATTTCATTTTAGTTGCTTTTTAAATCAACGTCTAAAAAGAAAAACAAATACTATTTACCTTTAGCCTCTGTGATATATGTATTTTTCTGAATTCTTTATTTTACTGAAGTGTTTTTATTCAACCGTGTCCTTGAAAAATTGGCTAGCAGAACTGTGTCTAAATCCACTGGATAGAAATCAAGTTTCTGTCTGTGAACTCTTTTTTCTGCCAACTAGAAAGGAAAGGGAAAGGGTAAGAATGTGAAACTATTTTTTAAATTTTTCTCCACAAAGACAGTTAATTAAACTTAAACTCTCTTATTCATAATGAAAAAAGCTCTATATTCTCAATACGTGATGAAAGGTTCATTTGTACCTCAGTTGTAATGAAACATCTTGTTATTCTAGTTTTCTGTATTTGAAATTATAATAAATTAGTGAGGTTTTTTTTTTT